AGGAACAATTTTCATTTAATGGGCGGCTATGATTTCATTAGTAAAATTATGAGTAATTCCGGCCTAATCTTTTTATCATCACTCTTAGCCAATCAAAATCGAGGATCTGCCGGTCCAAATTTGTTGCGGCAGCTATGGTTAATCACCTAATTTATGATCTGTGGCAGATGTGACAATATCGCATGTGCAATATATAAATTGTCTCCTAGAATATTTGTTCAAAACTAATTAAATTTAGTTTTGGTTTTGAACAGGGTTTTGGACATGGTGTCCAAAAACCAAACCTGTCCAATTTGCCCAACACTGCATTACCTAGTTTATTATAACTGTCTATATAATTGCATATACTGTATATATATGCATAAAAAAGTCTCTGACGGATAGTATGCAATTACAAGTATCGACTGTATACAGTTGATAATAAATTATCTAACATAATGTGTAAGTTACATGTCCTTTCTTAGATACAAATAAAAGACACTAAAATTATGATAACCTTAAATCTACCAGCCTAAAATTAATTTAAAATTTTTCAGAAATCAACTATGATTTAGCGTAGCAAAAATCTGATGATTATTATCATCGGGAATATCGACTGTATATACTATTACTATATGAAGGCAGATCTACTGAGTGATAAATAAGGATCGACTACAAACACTAGCAACTAAGCTATTTATAAATTCCGACCCAGAGTTTTTGGTATCGGTATTAAATGTTTAATTGAAAAAATTTTATGTTCGCGATGGATATTGACACGTTTCTTGATGAACAACAAAAACTTATAAATTCTTATTCATCAGAGTTTGACGAAAATGCCTTTAAAAACTTGACTTTAACAGTTGAAGAAAAACAAATTATATTGACTACTTTGGAACTTGAAAGTTCGTTTCTTCAAACCTTAAGTATTAATAAAAATAGTTGTTTTCTTAGTATCAACTTTATATTGCTTATATAATAAATCGATAAAAATAAAGTGGAAACGCGTATTTTAAAGCTCAAACAAAAAGCGGAAGAGTTGTCAGCGAATCTTCTTTTACGTAGTCAACTCGAGATCGCCAAGCTTCCAAAGGAAATCCGACAATTACCCTTAAGCGATTTTATAAATATCTATCATTCAGACCCTCGAGAATATTTTGAAAAACAGGTCGCCAAAAAAGTTAAAGAATATGATGATCAGTTGACGCCACTTATGGAAAGCAAGAAAAGGTTTTTAATTTTATTCGTTTGTTGAAAAAAAAGAAGATATCACTTAGTAGTATTATTAAGCGAGTTATAAATTTAAGAAAATGGACATTACATAATTTGAGAAGACAAGATGATGAAACAGACATTCTGACGGAAGATGAAGGGTTACCCAAGAAACGACCAGGTGATTTTTAAGATAAATTTTATGGATAATAAACCAAAATTTACTAACAATATTTATATATAACCTAATTGTTTGTTCTATAACTTGTAAGGGAACACAGTTTCATATCATTCTCTGCACAATGAATCGACGCGTTTAAAACCATGTAAGGATGCTTATTAGCTATTTTTTTTTTTTTAAAAAAAAAATAAGTTTACCATAATTTCTAATCTGATCATTCGTCTTTTTTCTTATTACAAGCCCGAATACCTAGGAGTCCCATGCTCAGAAGAAATATTAAGGTTGATTCATATATTATTTCGCATACAATTACATTTATTTTATAATGAAGAATTCGTAATTCGCTTTATTGTATAATAGGAGGATACCAATATATTATCAAGTTCAATAATTCGTCAAAAGAGTTCTTTCGCGAATGGTTCCATTTTCCAGGTGACAGAATCTCAGGTTCGCAAGTGGATTAATTATTATGAAATTTATGATACTTACGCGTTTTAGAACAAAATATTAATTTTAATCACTATTAGTCAAAATTTAATCCAGAGCTTCCTCCAGCGGCCAAATCAGTAATGCGAAGATTATTACCTGGCGAAATAATTTTTTCGATCAATGGATCACCTCTCATTAATCCTTTTTCGAAGAACGATTAATGGTTTTGAATAAATATTGTGTCGGTTTAATTTATTAAAAATGGTATTTTTTTTATCGCGTGTTTTACTTTTCCAACTACCAAACCGATTACTCGACGTGCTGAGAATTATATTTTCATTATAGAGTATTATTTGTCGATGATGCTGAAATCGGATGAATTCTAAACTTTTATGCATCATCCGATTTCAAAATCATCTCCGACATTATTTAAAGCCGACATATGGGTAATGGACTAGGAAACCCCGTCTCTGACACTTTTTAATAAATTTTGAGATTTTTGACTCAAATTAAAGTGCCGATTTATATCATATGTATTTCACTTTTTACTTTACGTTGATATAATAATTTATTAACTTGAATGTAAACCAATTTTTTAACGTTCGTGTTCTAAAAATAGATTGACGACCCAATTAAATTAGATCGGTTTAAAGTTTGTAGTCGATCCTTATTTATCGAATTCCTACGTATACGCATGGTGGGACAACTTTGTATCGGTTTAAATACTAATGGACTGCTGTCACATGATCACAAATAAATATAATTGGCTGGATTATATATTTTATTATTGAATTTTATATTTTAGCATAAGATTTGGTGTAATGTGAAATCAAAACAATAAATTAATTTGTTAGTTTAGTGTTAGGATGAGTGTTAGGTTAGGGTTAGAGTAGTATATTTTAGCAAAAGGTTTTAACTCAAAATTTTGAGAAAAAATTTTTTTTGTTAAAATACAAAAGGTAGTTTTATAAACTACAGTGCGGGACAGCAAGAGACATCCAATGTCTATTAATAAAACTTTAAAGTGGTATAACTTTTTTAAAACAAGC